ACAAAATCTTTTCAATATAATTCTATTCGTTCCAAAATCCAATGGAAATGATTATTGTTGTCATTATCATTATACTTATCATATATAGTTATCTCACTGTAGATTTCAATATGACAACTAATTGAGAATTCAACCTGATAATCAGTGAGTAGTAATTTACTCGAACACAAAAAGACCGAAGAAAAAGAATCGTTTACTTTTTCTCACATATTTTAGTATATTTTGTTGGTTTCATTTTACCAAATATCTGTGTGCAAGTCGGATATGCTGTATCAGTATGAAAAGTGGTGGTAGTTATCGTCTTTTTAATGTTTTATTTTATTTTTATTTCTAATCTTGTCTATATATGTAACATGTTCACATGTCTATTATTGTGTATGTATTGCAGTTACTGGTACTTCTATGATGTTTACTTGATCCACTTGTTTGTTTGTGGGTGTGTACTCGTCTAGTATCCTATGTGCATAAATATCTTTGTAATAAATGAAAGGTATGGAATGCTATAAAAGTTTAGAGAATCACTGATCGGTTTAATCTGTAGCGTACAGTAGAAGTTTAGCAGTTAAAAAAATTCGGTTTTCAATTACTGGGCAGCAGTGTTAGAACCCCACGCGATCCATTTTACTTACTTACTTACGCCTGTTACTCCTTGTGAAGGAGCATAGGCCGCTCACCAGCATTCTCCATCCAACCCTGTCCTGGGCAATCCTTTCCAGCTCCTTCCAGTTGTAATTCATCCTTTTCATATCTGCTTCTATTATCCGACGTAATGTGTTCTTTGGCCTTTCTCTTTTCCGCTTCCCTTCAGGATTCCAAGTTAGGGCTTGTCTCGTGATACAGTTTGATGATTTGCGTAATGTATGTGCTATCCATTTCCATCGTCTTTTCCTAATTTCCTCTTCAGCTGGAAGTTGGTTTGTTCTCTCCCACAGGAGGCTATTGCTGATGGTATCCGGCCAATGGATGTTGAGTATCTTGCGTAGACAGCTATTTATAAATACTTGTACTTTCTTGATTGTGGTTGTTGTAGTTCTCCAAGTTTCAGCTCCATACAGTAGAACTAACTGCCTTGACGTTCGTATTGAAGATTCTCACTTTGATATTGGTTGAAAGTTGTTTTGAGTTCCATATGTTCTTCAATTGTAGGAATGCGGCCCTTGCTTTACCAATCCTCGCCTTTACGTCTGCATCTGAACCTCCTTGTCCATCGACGATGCTTCTTAGGTATGTGAAGGATTCTACATCTTCCAGAGTTTCGCCATCAAGAGTGATTGGATTGCTGTTCTCCGCTTTGAATTTGAGGACCTTGGTTTTCTCTTAGTGTATGCTGAGGCCTACTGATGCAGAGACTGCTGCTACACTGGCTGTCTTCGTCTGCATCTGTTCGTGTGTACGTGATAGGAGAGCTAGGTCATCTGCGAAGTCCAGATCGTCTAATTGGTTCTGAGCTGTCCATTGTATTCCGTGTTTTCCTTCAGATGTTGAGGTTTTCATAATCCAGTCGACCACCAGAAGAAAGAGGAAGGGAGAGAGTAAACAGCCTTGTCTGACACCGGTCCTTACTTGGAATGCATCTGTCAGCTGTCCTCCATGCACGACCTTGCACTGTAGTCCGTCGTATGAGTTCCGTATAATATTAACAATCTTCTCAGGAACTCCGTAGTGTCGAAGAAGTTTCCATAATGTCCTCCTATCTACACTGTCGAATGCCTTTTCATAATCAATGTATTTGATGTATAGTGATGAGTTCCACTCAACTGATTGTCCGACGATGATCCGTAGTGTTGCAATTTGGTCTGCGCACGACCGATCCTTACGGAATCCAGCTTGTTGATCTCGAAGTTGGGCGTCTACTGCATCCTTCATCCGGTTCAGCAAAACTCTGTTGAAGACTTTCCCTGGTATTGACAGTAGTGTAATGCCTCTGTAGTTTTCACATTTGCTCAGATCTCCTTTCTTTGGAATCTTGACGAGGTGTCCTTCTTTCCAGTCCATCGGCACTTGTTCCTCCTCCCAAATCTTTTTGAATAGAGGGTAAAGCATGCTTGTGGTTACTTAGACGTCTGATTTCAGTGCTTCAGCTGGTATGTTGTCGGGTCCCGCTGCTTTCCCGTTCTTGATTTGTCTGACGGCCATTCTGATTTCTTCCGTCGTTGGTGGATTGACATCTATAGGAAGATCTGTGTGTGCTGCTTAGATGTTCAGTGGATTCATTGGAGCCGGCCTATTCAGGAGTTCCTCGAAGTATTCTACCCATCTGTTTCGCTGTTGTTGAATTTCGGTGATTGGCTTGCCTTCTTTGTCTTTGACCGGCCTCTCTGGTTTACTGTATTTCCCTGCTAGTTTCTTCGTTGTATCGTAAAGTTGTTTCATATTTCCTTCTCTAGCAGCTTTTTCTGCCGTCGTTGCTAGTTCTTCCACGTATTTCTTCCTGTTGGCTCTAATGCTCTTCTCCACTTGCTTGTTTGCTTCTATGTACTCAGCTTGTGCTTGGATTTTCTCTGCTTGTGTTCGGCTGTTGTTAGTTGCTGTCTTCTTGTTCTTCCTTTCTTTGATCTTGTCCAGTGTTTCTGTGGAGATCCATTCCTTATGATGGTATTTCTTTAGACCCAGAACCTCTTGACACGTTGAAGTTAATGCTTCCTTGATGCCTTTCCAGTTTTCCTCCATAGTAGTTTCTTCTTCTTTCAGTAGATCTTGTAAGGCTTGGAACCTGTTGCTGAGAGCTATCTTGAATTCATTGAGTTTGTCCGTATCTCGAAGGAAGGCTGTATTGAACCTTTGTATTGCTGTTTGTCCACTTGTCCAGTTCTTTTTTAGCTTCAGTTTCAAATTGGCTACAACTAGGTGGTGATCTGAAGCTACGTCAGCACCTCTCCTGGTTCTCACATCTTCCATTGTTTTTCGGAATTTTTTATTGATGCAAATATGATCTATTTGGTTCTCTGTAGTGTGGTCCGGTGAGATCCATTCAGCCTTGTGTATACGCTTGTGTGGAAATATTGTGCCTCCTATGACCAATTTGTTGAATGCACATAGATTTGCAAATCTTTTTCCATTTTCGTTTTTTTTCTTCCAGTCCATGTCGTCCCATAATATCTTCATATCCAGTGTTGTCTATTCCGACTTTGGCATTTAGATCTCCCATCAGAATAGTTAGGTCCTTTCTTGGGCATTTCTCTATCACTGACTGCAGCCGCTCGTAGAACTGATCTTTAATGTCGTCGTTGCTATCATTGGTGGGTGCATAACATTGGATAATATTCATTAAGATCCCCTCCTTCTTTGTTTTAAATGATGCTTTGATGATTCTGGATCCGTGAGATTCCCATCCTACAAGTGCATTTCGTGCTACTTTGGACAGCATAAGAGCGACTCTCTGAGTGTGTGGAGCATTGTCCTCTTCGTGACCGGAGTATAGCAGCATCTCTCCCGTAGCTAGCCTTTTCTCTCCAACTTGGGTCCAATGGGTTTCGCTGATTCATTCATTTATTTCCCATATTTATAGTAAAAGAATATTATTAGGACAAGTTAGTCGAAATTGAGAATATGACTTTTAAGTTTTCGCACCCATAAAAAGCAGTAGAAATACCTATGTAAACTTTTCAAAATGTTTAAAACGATGTCAAAAATTTACTTTTGTCACCATAAAGTAAAAAGAATACTATAAAGCGTATCAAATTCTCAATTCTATACTTAGAGACTGTATATAACAGACAAATCGATACTATCCTTAAGTAATAACCCCTAATCTTGAGACAAAACTTAACCTGGTCGCATTACATTTTTTAGATGGACTAATCAGATAGTGCTTCATGGGTTTTTGAGCAAAATACGCTCATTCATTTGGCTACAGAGTATTTTGCATCATTCTGTAATCCGTAAGAAAGAGTTTAGTTTTCGATTTACAAACACAGCAACCTGTCAAAGACTTCAATAGACTGAATAATTACGTAAAAGCTGTCTATACTTTGTAGTATTATTGTTTTTCTTATCATAGATTATTCATCTACAAAGGTTGTTTTCTGATTGACTAAAAACTAGCTGAAAATCCAACTCCATTATTTTAGGTTCACCCTTACACTAAATATACTTTGGCGGGAAATGTTACATGGTAAAGTACTTGTGTGAAATATTTCTATCATCATTTTATCTCTATCTTATCAATTTGATTAATATTTCCACATAAGCTTTTTTCACCTGTTCAAAATTTCAAGTCTGGATTACCTGTAGTCTCTATAATTCACAAAATGATGTCGACTCACTATCTGCATTGAGTAATCTGTTCAGCGTCAGTATAGTGGATGTTTTACAACACAGTAATAATCACTTTTTTTGCGAGATATTTTTCAGTTATCTTTTATTGTTTTGTGTATCTAACAACAACAACAGCAACAATCCTTTTAGTTTTTACCCACCATGAATTAATTGTGTTTCGCTGATATATAGTCAACTAGTTTTTCTGATTAATTATTATCTACATCAAAAGTTAATTCCATATAATGCTTATTTATTACGTTTTGTATGTTATATTTCAATTGGTAGCAAATTGTGAAGTCCAGTATATTCAAAATGGGTGGCATTCTTTGAATAGTTAATTATAATTAACGTATCTATTTTCCTCGATATAACTTCAAGTGAAGTTACTTGACTCTCTTTGATGCGAGCTTTATTGTCGCTAGTGTTTCCCAGTAATAATTTTAATTTACACACTTATTTGCTGACCCTTGCGCATCACTAGTTGTGTATAGATATTTTTCCGCTTTATTTTCAAATATCTTTTTTTTCGTGATCTCATTCACCTAAAGAATATTTTATTAGTATGCATTAATTATCTGAAGTATATAGAAATTGTCTAAGTTTTACCATATAGTATAACAAAAAGCAGTTAAGTAATAGTTCCTTTTTGCAAATTATTTGTTTTTTCATTTACTGAAAAGAATGTACCTAACGACAATTTCCATTTTTTATTCCTTATGATAAATATTTATACAAATTAGTCATTAACTCCATCCTACCGAACGAAATTGGAACAATTTCGACGTATTTTTCGTGATACTCCTGTTGATACTGAACGACTACTTGTAGGTAGGTTATTGTAATTCATTATTATATTGGAATTTGTTAATATGACTAACTGAAATTCTTTATATGAACTCAGTGTATACTCTTTTAAAAATAATGAATTTATTTTGTGTCATATTAGTTGGGCGATGACATAGTGCCTAAGATATTCGGTTTCCATCCATTAGGTTGTAGATCCAAGCCCAGCTTTATCTACCGTGGTTTAAGCATCCGGGTAGTATTACCAGCCTTGATGAGTACATAAATATATGCTTGGTGATGAGTTGCATATTAATTTATTGATTATTAATTATTTTAAACTCTGCTATCATGTATTGTAATGAAAATAATGATATCGGTTATATTCACTGTTATTTAAATTATTAATATAAAGCGGTTAAAATTAAAAGGTTTATAAGAAAAGAATCAATAATTCCTATTTTTATATCAAATAGCATTTATTTTTATTTTCGTCACGTTAGTTTTATTTATTGTGAATAATATTGGGAGTCTTATGATGAATCTTTTATTTAGGTGTGTCAACGTTTGTTACTAGATAATTCAAGTCATCATTTTTTTTCCAAATATTAGATTCATCAGTTTGTAAACATTTGTATCGTTTTTCATCTATTTCTATTGACATTTTACAAAGAGTTAGGAAATGTTCCTATGGTCATTATTTTAATATACTGTAATATGCTGAGCATGGCAGTGTTACGTTATAATATCCTTTGTCATTGTCATTCTTCTAAGAAGATATCATGTTATCTAGTTTTTTTGTTACTAACTCTTAATTCTTTTTGTAAAGGATTACCTGTAGCTCATATTTCTACAATAACCTTTGCTGTATGTTTTCATCTTTAGTTTGCTAGTTTCATCATGTATCCATGATTTATTAGGTGTTATCATTTGAACAGTTGTTTCATTTCAATATTTGTCTTCTGTTCTATCTCATATAATCGTGTGACTTATTCACCTTCAAGCGCTGTTGTGTATTGGCTGCCATTCTATCAAGTTCACCGCAGAATCCGTTTAGATTAGGATATTTTCAATCCTTTTGTAATTAACAATTGCCGTGGTCTCGTACTGAATCTCAGTTTCAAGGTATAACACTTGCACATATAATTGCTAATTATCATCGCAAAGATCTGCTATTTGAGTGAGTGATTGTAAACAATTTAAGCTAGTATATGATTGAGTAATAATATCATTAAAAAATATGCTGTAAATTCACTCTCCTATGTAGAAGGACGTTAAAATGAAAAAAAGATGCGTAACTCGCAGCTAATGTTCTTCGCTCTTTTGTCAGTGAGGAGGTTTATTAGTTTGAAAATCCTTGACTTTCATCCATCGATTTGTAAAAATAAAATACAGGATATAACTGTGGTATCCCAATGAGTAGAAAACTAAGTTTCTGATGCTTCGCGATTTCGTGTTGTAAGTTACTTCTTCAGAGCAAATAAATATTTCGTCTCTCTATCTTGTGATTTCATTTGACCATTGGAATTCATTCGTTTCTGTAGCCATTTTAATATGTGTTCACCCACCCTTACTTGCAGATCACGATTGCTCCTCTTTATGTACGTGTGTCCACACATACATGTAAATTGATTGACGCAATCGCTTACATGGTGTTTGGGCTTTTGGTGAAACATAGACCTCGTCTTTTCACTAATGACAAGTCGGGCTGCATAAAATTTCCTGTTAATGACTGATTAAAGTCTCCGTTCCAACACGAGACTATTTGAGTCGCCTCTAAATGGTAACATAATGTAAACTCGCTTTTTGGGTGCCAGAAGCGTCATAGGTCTAGTCGTATCGCAACCGTTTCAGCGGTTTATGAACTTCAAAGAATAACCATTATTCATTAACGTATCAGTCAAGAGCTTCGTCTCTACTTCAATAGTATCACTAGTACAAATACGATTGAATAAGTCCTTTATTAATCCACGTTTGTAATGAATTGGGCAGTGACTATTGGAAATTAAGATATTGCCCTGTCCATGTTGGCTTTCTGTATATAGAACGTTGGATGGAGCCATAATCTCTTCTACTAATCAGTATGTCTAGAAAAGAAAGTTGGTTGTTCTTTTCTTCGCATATAAGAGAAATATGTTTTTGACTTGTGTTAAGTTCTTTTAACAGACGGTTCAAATCTTCACGTTTACCCCCTATGATAATGATGTCATCAACGTACCGTTTATACAGACACATCTTTTGAATTGAGTCTTCAGCTAGATTTTCAACATATCCCATAAACACAGCCAGCAATAAGTATATGTGTGATCACTTTGTTCGAAATGTATTGCGCAAATATATCACATAATTCTGATAACCTTCGTCTTCTCATCGCATTATCGAAAGTTACGTCACTATTTTTATTATTATGTTCCGTTTCTTCGATAGTTAAGACTTGATAATGCTACCTACACTAATCGATAATTTCAAAACGCATCCCACTTCTAGTTTGAACAACTGATTAACCCGGAAGGATGAAATCTGTAATAGGTAAATGGGTTATATTGATGGATACGATTGTCACTTTCTCCTTATATCTATCCAGGTCACTTGTAGGTTTATATGGTTTTGAAAATTTTTATTACAATAATGATAATAATCGAAATGTGTGTACTACAATAATCATGTTTGCTCAGCAGAAAAAGTAATTGATTTGTAATAATTTCACCCTTTCAACTTAACTGATAATATTTAACATTGTCCATTGAGAAACATAAATTTATTCATAGGCAAAATTCCTTTCAAAGTTTAATAGTTTAATTACTAACTTTTCTGGGAATTTCAAAGATAGTTATAATCATGGACTGACCGTCAACTGGATTGAGTTAATTGTGCAAGTTTATATTCATTGTTCTGAGTGCGTGAAAACTCTCTCTCTTCTTATAAAATAGTTAGGTTTTGAAATCCAAGATTCTACGTAATTTAAAAGTTGAAAATCCGCCTAACCTTGGTTTTATACAGTGAAGTGAAATCTGAAATTGAGAGCAAATTTGACAAGCTCTTGGGACTGGAGTTATTTTTCGTTCTAGAAAAAATGTTTTGATACTATATTGGAACACCTGATCGTTGTTCCAATTTATTAAGTATACTCTTCATACATCATTGGGAAATAAGTTGATGTACGACAATAAACATTTTTGATAATGAACTTATTTAATAAGAACTGCTATAAGAGAGATGTGTATGCATTACTGAGCCATAGCTGAATTTAAATAAAAACGTTTTTATTGGAAATAAATCATTACGTTTTTTACCAGATACCTTATAAACATCATATTACTCTAAGATCAAAGGTCAATAAATAGAATTAGTAATATGAAATTGGGTTTCAGCTATTAATTGAATACTGTTATGCAACACTGCAAACAGTATATTATTTGCGAAAGTTTATAGAGTTAGTAATATTGTTTCAGTATGTTTCATTTGTAATCCACGTACCGAAACATATTGACATTCTTTTATTATATTCAGATTCTGGAAAGATAAAGGCCGATTTCAATTTTGTAAATTACTTTGTGATTCCTTGAATCTTTAAGCACGTCACAGAATATCTTGTGATGCAGTATCCCACTTGCTTATTTTAACTACAGAAAAGTCTTTTTGAGATAGATTGATGAATTAATAAAACCGTAAGGAATGAAATAAAATAGCGCATCACTCCAAGTGTGATGTGTGCTACTGATGTCAACAGGTGTAAGTAGTATGTATCACCAATCGAATGTAGAATGCCTGGCGGTAGAAGGTTGAGAAGTTCGGAGAGAAGGGAACGAGATCAAAGAGTGATTGGTATGGAAATGAAGGAACAGTAGCGTCTGGGACAATTGATGGGCATTGTCCAAATGAAGTATTTACTGTATTGTTCTTAAATTTTACTAAGAGATGGAGAAACCATATAGCAAAAATATTAAGAGAAGAAAAAGCAAAATAAACGACCTTATGTGACTTGTCGACAATAAGTTCGTATTGCTATGATAAGGAATTGTCGCAGAATGCTCAGAGTTGGTTTTATCATCCCCTGGTGGTACTAGCTGGTCAATCATTAAAAATCGGGTGGCACTAAGTTAACTGTTTTGTTTTTGTGTAAGAATTCCCGGAAATGCCCTTACGCTATCTATCACATGATATCAAAATGAATACTTTTATGCTCTACGATGAGTATAGTATATTTATAGAACATTAAGCTGAAAATTAGAAGCTCGAATTTCCAAATTAATAAAGTTACTGGCTTCAAACTCTACTATCAAACCATGATTGGAAAACCACGTACCAAATAAGACAGATATATCACTTTTGGTATTCAGGGATGATGGTTAGGTTATTAGACTAATTGATCTATGAATTTATGGATGTAGACTTATGAAATGTCCTAAATTAGGATGAAGAGCCATCCAGTTCTTTTTAGCTTTCAGTTTCTTCCCTGCTATTCAACTAATTATAAAAACAACTATTAAAAGGGGGCAAATATGTAACTCATTAGTGGTTTGTTGAGTCAGTTAAGTCTATTAATGTTTCAGGTTACATATATCCACTAGGTTATTGATTGATTTATGCCATTTACTACTCAGTTCTACGTGATTGACTTTGTTCAGGTAATTGAATTATATGCAACTGAATCTCATGTCGATATAGCTGTTAATTAGTGGTGGTTGATCGTTTGTGGATTTACTGTTAGTACATTGTCAATATTTCGTCTTCAGTTTTGTCTTCTTCCCACCGAGTCATATCAGCAATTTCGACCTCAGTTATAATAAAGAGCCACTATTCAGTTACAACATCAACCACATAAATTACTTATCCATTATTATCTTTTTCTTCCTAAATTGTATCTGACTACATTTTCAGTAGTTATTCACAAAAATTTACAAGCATACATATATTCATAGATAAAATTGTTAAAAGTGGTATGATCTCATATATATGTGTGTACATAATTTTAGCATATTCATATACATTTCTTTCTTTGAATCTTTTTATTCAAAGCAAGCTATTGTATTTTAATTCATTACGGTATAACATAGTTTTTCTTATTTGAAGTGTATGACTCTATTGTTTCTTTTTTTCATTGTTTTTCAAAATTGTTTTAATAGATTATTCATGTGCTTTATCTAAGAATAATAATGGTCTATTACTGCAAGGTCGAATGTACATTACTGAAACATGGGTGTGCTTTTACTCAAAGATTCTATACGAACAGAAAGTAATTTTATTTTTCATTTATTTACTACTACTGATGCATGAGTTTTTATTTATTTCAGTTAAAGCTTTAAAACAGAACTGATGTTATTAGAAGAAAAAAAACGTTTAAGACAGTATAAATTTATTGTATCATTTCAAGTGTAGTATATATTTGATTGAGTGGATTAATTAAAATATTTATAAAGAAAATTCATATATGCTCTGTTGAATAAATACACAAACTGAACCGCTTCTACGTTCATTGGAACTTGAGAAAAACCCAGGAAATATTAAAGTCATTATGAAGAGGATAACTCTCTTCAGGTGAATTGAACTTTTTCGTCGATGATTGTGGAGATTGATAGACTGATCCAAAGTTATAACGATTTCGGACACCTTTTTTGATTTAAAGAACATCAAATATTTGGATTTTCTACCGTTTGTACAGTGTCTGAATGATTCCTGACGAACTGAAATTTAGATAAATCGTCTGTGCACAATATTTTGTGTTCCGAAAAAATATGAAACAACGGAGCTTCTTAAAAGCCTAGCTTCTGAGGATGTCCGGGGATGTCTTAAACAATGGGTTTGGGATTAAGTATATTGTTACAAGTTGGGATTATTTTTAATTAAAGATATATCAGCCTTATATTTTGCAAAGGATATATGCCGTTAGCGTTATTTATCATACAAACTACTCATACTGGATAGAGGTCTTAATAATTTACTTTGAGTTAATTTGATGTGAATGTTGAACAAGTTCGTTTAACGTATCAAAGAGTGCATACGTTTTTTCTTGTCCAAATATAATCCATGATAAGAAAGAATTTTCTACACAGCATTTGACCATATGTGTCATTCAAGTTTAGCGAGACCACTGAGTTGGTAATATTGTGATCAGTTGTAGGTCACTAGATAGAAATGATGCGTCTAATGATGAGTCTGTAAACTGTCATCTATTTAGGTAAATGACATATTTACCAACTGCATATGTTTACTCATCGTCTTTGACACATTACACTGACTACGATATAAAGCTGTTGAATTTGATTTGAGCTTTATTTATTGTTTGAAGGATTATTATATTACCTGATCACATTAACCTAATTAGGTTGAAGTGAATGAAATCCATTTGAGCTAATTACTCACTGACTTACGTTTGTTAAATTTCGTGGAGGAGCCTAGGCCGCCCACCAACATTCTCCATCCAAGTCTGTCCTGGGCAATCCTTTTCAGCTGCTATTTATCCTATTCCTTTCTGTTTCCACTTGTCAGCGCTGTATGTTCTTTGGCCTTCCACTTTTCTGTTTACCTTCGAGATTCCAAGCTAGCGCATGCTTCGTGATTCAGTTCGATGATTTCCTCAATATGTGTCTTATCCATTTCCAACGTCTTCTTCATTTCCTTCTCAGCTGGAAATTGGTTTGTTATCTCCCTCAGTGGGCTGTTGCTGATGGAATCCCGTCAATGGACATTGAGTATCTTGCGTAGAAACTTGTTTATAAATACTTGTACCTTTTTGATGATAGTTGTGTTAGTTCTCCAAGTTTCAGCTCCGTTATAGTAGCACTAACTGTCTTGACGTTCGTATTAAAGATTGTGACTGATGTCGGTTAACAGTTGTTTTGAATTCCATATGTTGTTCAACTGTAGGAATGTGGCCATTAATTTGCCAGTGCTTACCTTTCACATCAATATCAGATACCCTTTGTTCACGTCTCTCAGAGTTCCACCATCAGGTGTGATTGGGTTGGTGTTTTCTGTGTTGTATTTCAGGATCTTACTTTTTCCCTTGTGTTTGTCGAGGTCTACTGTTTCAGAGGCTTCCTCTACAGTGGTTGTCTTGATCTGGATTTCTTCATGTGTATGGTTTTAGAAGGGTCAGCTCGTCTGCGAAGTTCAGATCGTCTGGTTTCATGCAAGCTGTCCATTTTATTCCGTACTTCTTCCGAGATGTGGAGGTTTTCATAATCTAGTCAACCACCCGAAGAAAGCGGAATGGGGTGAGTAAGCAGCCTTGTCTTGGAACCTGTCTGTCAGCTGTCCTCTATGCATGACTTCGCCGTGTAGTCTGTCGTATGAATTCCTTGTGATTTCGCCGATCTCAGGTACACCATAGTGTTGAAGAAGGTTCCATAATGTTCTCCTATCCACGTTGTCAAGCGCTTTCTCGTAATCAAGGAAGTTATTATTATTATTATTATTATTTATTATTATCAGCTTTATTCAATATTATATTTTTGGTACAATATAGAATTCTCAGCGTAAAGTATTTCAACACGTTGTCGTTTCTTTCTTTTTGGTCGGTCCTGGCGATAAATATTGTGTGATCCCCAGTTAGATGTTAGCAGTTCACTAAATGAACATCTGAATAATGTGTATTCTTTCCGTTGTATATTGCCAGCAACCACATTGTCTGTTATTGAGTTTTTTGTAACTTTGACAACGAAAGGTTGTACACTTTTCAGAAACGCAGCAGAATAGGTTGTGCGATTAATAAACATAATGATATATTAAAACAAACAAAAATAGATAACTTGTTGAAATATCTAGATGGCAGGAACAGGTAGCCCAGATGATCAAGCAGGCCGCCGTATAATGACGAATTCCATCCAATCAATTGCTCAACAATGATGCATATTGTCTAGAATTAGCCTGTGCATGACCGATCGTTACGGAATCCGACCTACTGATCTGGAAGCTGAGCGTTTACTGATTCTTTCATCCGGTTCAGCAACACTTAAAAACGTTTCTTGGTACCGACGATAGTGTGATTCCTCTGTAGTTCTTACATCTGTTCAGATCTCCTTTCTTTGGTATCTTCGTGAGATATCTTTTTTTCAGTCTGTGGGCAGTAGTTTTTACTTCCAAATGTTCCTGAATAGAACGTCTGGCAAGTTTGCAGTTACTTCTCTGTCTGACATCAGTGCCTCAGCTGGTATATTTTCTGGCTCTTCTTATTCCTTTTTCTTGCAGCTTTTTCCGCTGTTGTTGCTAGGTCTTCCTCGTATTCCTGCTTGTCAGATCTAGTGCTCTTCTTCACTTGCTTGTTTGCTTCTGTGTATTCAGCTTGTGCCTTGACTTCCTCTGTTGTTGTTCGGCTGCTGTTAATTGCTGTCCCTTTGTTCTTTCTTTCGATAGAGATCCATTCCTTATGATGTTACTTTTTGCGGTCCAGAACCTCCTGACACGTTGAAGTTAATGCTTCTTAGATACCCTTCCAGTTGTCCTTCATAGTAGTTTCTTCTTCCTTCAATAGATCCTGTAAGGCTTGGAATCTGTTGTTGAGAGCTATCTTGAATTCGTTAAGTTTGTCAGTATCTCGAAGGAAGACTGTATTGTAGTGCTGTTTTTCCACTTCTTCAGTCTCATCTTAGTAACCGCCTTGTTGTTGTGCGGCACATTTTCTTCGTGACCAAAGTACAACGGCACCCTAAGCGAATCTAGCTTTTGCTGTCCAGCTTGGATCCGATGTGTTTTACTTATTCTGAGCACCATCAAGTTGTATCTTCTCATTTCCGTAACTATTTGATTGGTCATCCTCATATCTCACATTGTCCGGGTATTCCATGTACCTATATTAATTGTTACTCTATTTGTTAGAAAAGGACATCAGCCTCGTTGCTTCCGAAGAATCTCGGCTTTCACCATGAAGCGTCATAACTCTTCTAAATGATGATCCTTCAACTCAGAGGGTAGAGTTCAAATAGTTTAATTTGTTTGTTCCGGTTAGCATTTTTTCAAAAAGGTGTTTTCCTACGGGATGAGGTCGCTGCTCTCATGTACAACCATCTTCTTTTACCCAGTCTTGAGATCGGCAGTAACCCTAGAAGAGCTACAGGTAGAGTTATTTGAGTTTATAGTTGTTGTTTACTTCATCGAACTGCTGGTCGTTCACATTTAGTCCATTTAACACAATTATCTATTATCTTTTTTGTGGAAAAACACTATTTAGAAAACAATTGTTGTACTTGTAATACTTGTAAACTACTTAGGTTAATATATTATTTACTGTTTTTCACAAGAAACACAATTCTAAATGCACTCCATTTATTGATTGAGGTCAATTATATGCATTGATTTCTGGTCATCTGATCTCCACTGGGCTTTTTTTGACAGTTCAGTGTTTATATATATATATATATTTATATACATACTTGATTTTTTTTTCTACTGGTTTATTGAGGTTTTCTATGGTTTTTTATGATTACTATTAGTAATAGTATGATCGCCTTATATATGATATTGAATCATGTCAGTTTAATTGGTTTTTCAAATGAATATTGATTTATTCGAAAACAATCAATATTACCTGTTCTCGGAATGATGCTTTCATTAGAGAAAAAGTAATGGGGTTGAGTGTGAACAGTAAACAAATATTTAATATATATGCAAAATAGAAGTTCAATAAACGTTATTGTCGACGTTTGGATGTTACGTTAATTTATGCATATCTAATGACTAGTCTATAATGTAACATGCTGAATTGTTATACTGTGAGTAATGATTATGTATAAGTGTAAACCAATTCGTTTCTGTATTTAAGTGTTGAATATTAGTAATGGTACATTGTTAATCAGATTGTGGCATATAAACTGATTAACTAATCATCTGTATGTAATCAAATTTCTTGGATATCAAAGATTACAGTTTTACATCATACAGCTGACTCGTTTATCTGATTTATTTCATTTTGTATAAGCTCTGGCCTAATAAGTAATCCTAAAAAGTGAAAAACATAACCGTCACCTGAATAAAATGTCCTCGTAGAATTGACTTGTGAATCTCTGTTTAGTGCGGTGAATATTTTGTACGGTGGTTTGCGTCATGGATCTTACAAACAGTTAATCTGTTATTCATATTTAAATATACTATTATGATTTTTGGATTATGCTTCCTTAAGAAGTGAATATCTCTTGCTTTCACATTTATATTTATTGCTCATCATAATTTTAGATATTTTTGGCCGTCAATGAGATCGTTGCAATTACCAAAGAGAAAACCGCTCGTGTTATACCAAATGCAATCCAAATTTTATATTCTAAAAATCATGAACGATTTTTCTTCACATCATTCGCTTCCAGAGAACGATCTTATGCAATATTACGCAAAGTTTGGGAAAATTGTCGTAATCATCAGGTAGTGTACGAAAGACTTAAGGATATATGTTTTAATTAGTAACTGTTAGTCTTCGGTTTATTTTCGTTTTTTCTTTCTACCACAGCTCTATGTTTGCTTTATTAGGTAAGCTTATTATTCACGTAATAAATAAGTCCACTGTAAATGACTTGATAATAGTAAGAAAACTATATTATTGCGAAATGACATCAGTACAAATTTAAAACTGAAAATTGACAATATGAACTTACACAGTGAGTGGTAGTATCTACTATTATTTACTCCTATTACGTATTTAGATGTTTACTTGTTATACTAAACAATACCTTTCAAGTATTACCCCTTACTGTTTGAATGTATTTTCTTAGTAAAACTTAATATTCCTCATATTTATGGTTACTTACGTTGTTGTATCCGTAAATTGGCTGAATTCCCGTACTAGAATTTCTTGACTCCTTTAACACTTTTTTTCACTGATGGAAATCCACTTTTCATATGAATTTCATCCATTTTTAATTTGTAGATCATTTTTATATTCATATGATAAATGATATGGTAATTTACTGCATATGTATGCATTACATTGTTGATATGGTATTCTTGTCTTCTTCCATCTATATTTCTTATCAAGAGATTAGTTGTAGAGAAAACGTAACCATGCACTCAGTTTAGTTTGAAATGGTTTGAATTATCTAATAATTCAATATTGTTTTCGATTAGATCCTCGTCAGGCTTTACTCTAATATACAGTAATGGGAAATAGATGTCCTGGATTTGATAACTCTTTCCACTGGAAATTAGCCTTGAAAGCTAAATATAATAATGTAAACAAGATTATTATATAAACAAATGATTATCTTAATAATTTTTTTCTAAATACTTTCATATTATATTATGAAGTGTGAACATCTTAAAATGTGAAATGTAAAAATATGTTCACTCAACATAGTTTAATGACTTTCAACTGTAGTTGTTCATTGTGAAGGGATGTCAGTTGGAAATACTATTATAAACCAAATGTGTTTTATTTTTCCTGATGCATGGTGGATCAAATAAACTCTCGTTGATCGGGTTATATTTATTCCATTCAGAGAATTATATGCTTAATATACTTGGTCACCTTATAGAGTCGAGATCTGTTTACATCCTTTTACTTGTTTTATTAATCAACTTAATGGAGTCAAATATTTTTACTTCCATAAAGTGTCTTTTTTCTTATTCATTCATAAAACAAACTCATAGTGATTTATGATGTCACAAGTCCGCTTTATACCAGTTTCACTTTGATCCTACTCAGTATACAGAGATTTCTTCGATGGTATTCTGCATGTCATAATGTTCGAGTATTAAAATTTACGATCGACAAATTTGAACTAGAAAAATAAAATAAACAAACCCACCGAAGAAATTGGTAGATAATCGCGCAATATCGTGGATTGGTTGAAGTTGGACATTTACACTATTGGATCCCGGCTTAGGGGTTTAAAGGTTACATGTTTGTGCGTGAAATCAAAGGTGCTGGGTTCGATTCACGCTTGAAGGGTCGTGGATGCGTACTGCTGGAAAATCCCATACTAGGACGAGACGCCCATCTACTGCTTCAAGTTTTTTAATCGTGGTTTAACATTGATTGGTTAATGATTTCAATGTAAAAAATCAACACAACCCATAACCCCCACATTGAAAATAAATTAGTATTAAAGAACTATTGCAATTTCTATCTACATTAAATTATAAATTATTATGTGCTTTTAAAAGAATTATAAATTATGTATCGTCACGGTTTTGCCACATATTTATACGTATTCATTCAATTTTGATTCATAATACTTATTTTAGATGGTTAAAATAATTCTATCTGGTTACTGAAATTGAATTAAATGGAGTAGGGTCTCGATGTTGTTTTTAACTTCAATTAATAGAAAGTATTGTCGATCGATAACTGTTTTGCTTTCTACCACTTCCTTATTTGGATTTTTCGACTATTTTTTAATGATTTCGATAGGAAAAAGTTGAATTTTTCAACCAATTATATTGAACAGTGGATAAGTAAATGATGATGTTTTTTTCAAGAAGCAACCCATAGTGTTTACAATCTTTGATTTAGTCAACAGTAATTATGCGCCTGAATTCCCCTTATTTATTTCATATTGTTTTGATTCTCTAATCATATATATTATCAGTACATATGTACATATATACTTGTAAACATAGAAATGAATACATCGGTTCATTGGTAATGTAATAAATAGTCTTTTCTTTAAAGCACATGAAATACTTGTCTCTTAGTCACTAATATCGAAATCTTTATCTTTTCCCGGTGTGAAAACACAAGACACTTGTACAAATAAATCAGGTAAGCTATGCCTGTTGCTATTATTATTGTCGTTTGCAGTCTAACATGGTGTTGATAGATTGAGTTTATCCATACACTACATGTTTCTTCCTCTCTCTAACTTTTTTCTCCTGTAACTTGTAAATAACTTTTAAAAAATATACACTTTTCTCGTCTCTAACTCAATTGCTCTGAATTTTATTCAGATTTACAAAAATTTTTTAGTCTTTCAACTATAACTTGTAAAGTTGTTAGTTGTTTTTCAATGTCTAAAACTCACTAATAACTGTTTTTCTTTTTGGTTAACGCTCTTCAGTTTGTGGTGATACTGAAACTAAACGTATTTTGTAGTGAGAAACTTGTCAATGTCAGCTATAGTTTTGCTTACAAAATGGTGGAATATAGTTAACTGATGAACAATTTACTAGAAATTACCGGTGTTATTCTCAGCATCTATATATATCTATTCTTATATTTCACGCTATTTCGTACTCGCTAGTTCTGTGTCTGTTTTTTCTATTTTCCAATGTGATGGAAACTTGAAATCCTCCCATTTTTATATTATACGTATCTTCTTGACTGAATTATTTAACTGTAACTAATTAACGACAAATGAATAAGAGGGAGGAGTGGCATGGAGTCAACCTAGATTGTGCATTTTTCTTTTTTTTGATATTAATGTTTATAGCTTGTGCAAAGACTGTGTATCTTGTTTTCGGAACATTCACTAAATTTATGTTCAGTAGTCGTATTTCTGCTGTGTTGTGTAATTTCTCTTGGTCGTCTGAAATTCTCTTCATTTTTATACTTTTGACTGACATAATAGTTACTAAACAACTTAACAGTTAAGGAACTTGACTTTCGACAGTAAGTTCCAGATTTAGACATCGGCTTGGGTTTGGATAGGCAGACAGGTATTGTCTTAGTTATCACGTATTCTGTTATTACAATTCATATACTGAAACTTACACAGTTATAGTGTTTATTAGAACTGATTCCCCTTGTTGATCGTTAAAACTAACGTTTATTTTTTATCTGCGGTATATCACCTCACAGTAAATTCGTAGCAATTCTCAGGCATTGATTTTTATTCCTGATCGCTTCCATATAGATTTATCAATTCGTCTGATCCTGTGATTTGTGTTTTATCCAAAATAGTTCAGGAACATCATCCAACATGATTGTAATGTCAGTACCGAATCTATTAGAAGATCTGTAGTTGAATTAATAGTGTATCATTATAGATATTTAGTTAAAATTTTTAAAATTACATACTCCATAGATTTTCTTTCTAGTTCGTGCTCTATATTTAATAGGTTTACTGGTTATGCAACTTCATCGTGAAGAAAAGTGAATTGTGTTAATTCCAGCCTGAATTATTTGCTACTTTTGTTTAGAAAAATCCTATAAATGCTTTGAGCGTATCTTTTTAATCTCAATCATTTTTAAGACATATATTCCAATTAAAATCTTAACAATAAAGAACACATAAAGGATGCAGTGTTATGTGACCTGAGATTCAAAGTAACCTGAATAGCTGTCTAGTATCGCATGTGATTGTAAAGCAGGATAATATAGGCCCCTATTCCATGTGGAACAATAATTCCGTTTAGACTGCAAGTATATCCTTTGTAAGGTACGTCAAATAGCTTGAAACCTGGGTAATTGGGTTCCTGTTAATCGCCTTTAATCACTTGGACTAGTGGCTATGTTGTAACTTGGATTCAGTCAGCACTAAACACTAGAGATATATGACATTTCTTACCACCGTGTGATTAATTAATGAAAATATAGACAAAGAATTAATTATCACGTATACGTACTAAAAAGATTACTTTTTCTAGACTCAATAGAGATAAGGATTATCGGTTTATCGAATGATAAGCTCAAGATTTGAATACCATTACTGATATTTCTGACCTTTGGTTTAATATTAATCAGGTTCGTCTATTGAACAAATAATAAACTTAGTTATCTCTTTTTTACATGAAACTAGTAGTGTCATCAAACTCTTGGAGTGTTTTTTTAAAGGACATATTGCCCATAGCTTTTCTTGTAGTGAATGATAATGTGATACAGTTTTCGAGCAATCAGCTGAAGCCAGTTTCTTAAAAGAACACTGGTTTATGATTACTTTTTTGTATCTGATCAGAAAGTTTTTTGTGCTTTAAGTAACTTGTAATTATTGTGTTATCTAGGGCTAAACTATATAGATAAATGAATAAGCGTATATTAGTTATGAAGAAACTTTGTACTTTTCAAACTTTCTGTTGAAATTTGGCGGTTGACAGGTCTATTTACTATCATTTCTTTCCCATCAAGATAATTAAACGTCTATTTCGTTTGTTATTTTGCTTGTGAACAACTCACTGAAAATAATACATATGAAAGAATAATTTGATTCGCTTTTTCTAGCTCGTTGTAAGAAAATTGTTTGCTGTAAATTCGGTTCAGGTTATTCAAAACATTTTCCACTTCATTGTATTCAGCACTTTGATCGTTATTTCTTTTACTTAGTAAGTAATGGCTTATTATTAGAGAGGAATATCCGTTAAATATTTCATTTCAAACTCTGGTTTGAATTAGTGTATTTTTCTTTCTCACTAGACATTAACATTTTCATAGAACATCTTATTTGCTTGCAATAAAATATTTATTTTACATTACACTCTAATATACTTTACTTATCAAATAGAATGAACAGAAAAGTGAATGTTGTACCTGGTATATCACATTTAATGAACATTCAGAAAATGTTCCAATTAATCTCACCATTAAATTCTTTCTGTTCTCTAAAAAATAGTGTAAATTACTTTTATGATAATTCAATATATTTCAGAGTTAATTAAGCTAATGCTGTGTTTATGTCAGACTACGTTGGTCTTGATGTTTATAATCATTAGAATAGTTAACTTTCCAATCTCCGTATCTGTATACATGTGTGTGTGTGTGTTTATTTATCTTTGTATGAAATATCGCGAACTATAGATTTTTGTTCGTTGGCTAACACTATCAAGAACTTGTATAATTATGTTCTTATCATACAATATAAATGACAATTTTATTTAAAAAACATCTTCATTCCATTGCCAATCTGTCACATAATACGTAAATAATTAAGTTATCTTTTCATTAAAATAGTAGGTTGCCTTATAAAATAACTTTACATACATGCCAGTTTTTTAATGTTTTGTTTAATTGTTTCATATGTTTCTATGATGGTTACGATCTTGGATAATTACTACCAAATCTCCTCATTTTGTACATAGCTAATTTGATTCTTGTATCGTTCCAATTCATGTAGAAAAAGTTATAGAATTAACGAAGGTTAAGTTCTTTTCGTTAACCGTAACTCAACTTTTCTGTTGTTTAACATAATTGTTAGTCACAGATTAGTTATATTCTGTAAAGAATTCAACTTTTAAAATTACTTTGTATAGAAACCATAATGTTTACTTGGAAAAAATATAGTACTTTCAAACAAATTTATTAGTCACTCTTAGTGGATGTTTACGATAATTTAACTAATCCTGCAAAGTGCTTGATATGTCAATTTAATTCATTGGAAGCACAACTGTACAATTAAGTTAGAGCGTAAGAGAGTGACGATCAGATTGTTTACTATTACAATATTCTCATATACCACGAAACACTTCTTTGAACTAGATTGATTTGTTAAAGTTTTCCAACAAGGAACAAAATCTTATCGATGTTGTACTATTACTCAAGTGAATTATATTATTCATATTTTGTATAGAAATATTCTCATTTTGTCTTTTTTCATATCTTCAATTGTTATATGTTAAATATAGACAATGAGTATTGATGAAATATTACAACAAATACGTGATATGTATGGTGATTATAGTTTAGCTATGGTTGAAGATGAAGAAGATACAGATGGTGATGCTGAATTAGTGCCGACTACTTTTCCTCATATGGTAAGTTAATTCTTGTTGTTATTTGTTCCACATTTTCTATTATACTTGTTTTTGTCAATAGTTGATACCAACTGGAATATTAGCAATGGATAGGTATTCCGTCTTAGTATGGAACTTGTCAGTAGCAATTTACACTTATCATCACGTCAGAAATTGTACCTAAAACCTCTAAGAAAATATTTCATTTAGCTAATGAGTCACAACTCAATAGTTTACATTTTAAGCTTCTCTTCTCTTCGATATAGTCAGATTTGATGCCATCGTTATATAACAACCCAATTCCGTACACATCTGAAGCTGATCATCTTTGATATCTGACTAGAACTTTGAAAATGAATCTCCAAGTCATTTAGTTCTAAATACATACATAAGGTTTTGCCAAGATTAGTTTTGGTTGTTTTATATCATGAAACAGTACTAAGGAACAGCTGAAAATCAGGGTGCACCACAAAGCTGTTTCGTCTTTGTATGTGTCCATCTATATATTTGTTTTTCTCTGTTGTAACTCAAAGAATACCTCATTTGTTATCGACATAAATTTGTCGGATACCAATGGATACAAAGGTTTTGTCTTGGAAAAAGTAACTATTTTGATACTACTTATGTAGTCACTTCTTTGTTATTTAATGGTATGGTCGGGTTGGTTATATGGTAGTTCAAATTATCTTTCGTATGATCCAAAATGGGTTACCCACACTGAATAACTCTATGATTGGTGATACTAGTTTGAAATTTATAAGTTCTTATGGCTTTGAATTTTTTGGTCCAAACAACTATCTAAAACGGTCATATAAGTTTTGCACTTAGTGTTCCAAGTCTGTTTTGATGATGTACTTCGAAATGTTCTTTAATTCCCAGGCTCTTGATGATTTATGTTATTTATAATGTTTTAAGTAATCTGTAGGTAGCTACAGTTTCCACGCTCTCCGATTTCTAGTTACATTCTTTATATGAGATTTAAGAAATGTTAACAATTACTGTTTCCTAATTTTGCAAAAGCCTACTAAAGTTTAGCTATATGACCATGGCATTGTTTAGTGCATCAGACAATCTCTATCACTAGTTTCATAACATTTTTAGGTTTGACTTGTCCTTTGGTAATTGTCAACCTGTCTTGAGAGTGTCCAGTTTTGTGACATAGAGTCGCAGAATGTGGTGCAGGTAAAGATTGACTTCGACAGTCGTGTACTTTCTTCACCAAAGATCACTGTAAACCTAACATAAGTGCAAAACTCCAGAGGGGATAGAAGTTCTGAGATCTCAAATGCAAATGTACTGTAATCTGAACAAGTCTCAGAAGATCATCTGTTTCATTCGATCTGTGTTACACTTTCTTTTACCTTAACTACATGCTAAAGGTTGTTTAGAAAGCTTAAATTTTATTGAATCGGTCTCTTACAAGTAAAACTAACAGTTGTATTATGTAAATAAATGTTATATCTGTGACCGACCAAACTAATACGAATTCACCCCTTATACTAAGTGTCGCAATGATATCGACAAGGTCAGGCGCTACTGCTTCAGAACCTATAATAAATTTCATCTGTCTAGCATATACAATGAAACAATCACTGATGAATAAATTTCTAGACATCACAACATAATTAAACATATAATCTCCATTATTGGAAATCTGTGTCAGTATGTAGAGTTTTCTATGTGCCTAGGTATCTCATCAAAATCGCTCTGATCTTTAATCGTTAGCTTTTGTAATGTAAACTTTCTAAGATAACTGATGGCAGTATCCATAGTTCAAATGTTCTACGAACAAGTTGATGATTCAGATTAACTTGCTAAAATTTTGTGGCCATATTTAGTGACATGCCCAATTTTATTTGCGAATCATTGTTTTCTCTGACATGAAAACGTTTACAGACTAAAAGTAATAAAGTTTACTAGGGTTTTTTAGTACCTACCTTCACTATTTCATTACATTAAAAACTTCATTATCAGTTGACGAGAAGGTTTAAGCACACGTCAGTTTATATTATATTTCTTGTCTGCTACTATGTTAAATATGAATGCAGACTACGCTTATCAGTCAGTCAGTAACAACGTAGAACTTCGTAAGTACGTACATCAGTTCGAGTTGTCATACCACATTAGCACAGAGATGCAGTTGTCGATCCAAATCCCACAGTGGTAGAGGTAGTAAGAGTATAAGCAGTAATCGGAAAGATTGGGGTTTGAAGGTGTTATTCAAGGAGTATAACCCAATGAAATAAATTTGGAAAGAGAAAAAAAGGGACATGAAGAATTCAGAAGATTAGAATTTTGGAGAACACAAAAAGTAGATGCACCTGCGCCATTGCAAACGATTTCGAGCCATGTTATTCAAGGTTTCTAACCATCGGTTGCTATCATCTCGCGATCAACAGAGCCTTAAGGCCGAGAAATATTACGATTGTGGGACGTCTGAATGTATGTCTATGTTTTAGGACCTGATGTAGTTTGAATATCTGGTCTACACAACCACGTCCAGATCGAAAACCAGCCTGATTTTTCTAGTCTGCTCTTCACGAGCTTTAGTTAGGCGTCGAAGTATGATTGAAGCTAATATTTTGGACACTGTATTAGTGAAACTGATTCCTCTGCGATTGTCACAAGGGGAATTTTATCCTTTCTTATAGACTGGCACAATCAGTGGTTGAAACCAGTCAGATGGGATTACATCGAGTTCCCAAATTCTACCTAAGACCTCAGTCAATCTCACTGCTAATATTGGACCGCCATCCTATTTTTATCATAGTTATCTAAAAGAGTTTGCTTTGGTGTTAAACTAATTAGATATTTAGTCCAGTCTCATTTAAATCATGCAATCGTAAATTTGCGTACACGTACAAAATAATCTAGATTGCCGTTTTGATTTCCATTTTATTTCTCAACAGCTTATGTATTGCGTATTTCAACTAAATGCTTAAACTTTGAATATTTCATATAAATAAACATTGAAAACATACAAATTGATGGGATGTCTTAACTTGAATAACACACAACGAATTATTTCGATTATAAAGAAATTTTAAAGTGAATTATTAAACAATATGTCTACTTACACAATATGATATAAGGTCACTTCGAACAATGTTAGCCTTAATCTAATATATGGTCTTTCGAATAGTTAACATAAACAAATGCGCTATATGATGATAATATATCAGATTAAAATTTATGCACCCATATTCTTTATTTTTAAAAATAACAAATAACCTCAAACAGTGATTCTACTCATCAATCATATATATAAGGTTGTGTAACGGTATTCATTGTTATCGGTTTCTTAGTGTTAATCGAACTTTATTGATTTTATTTGTTAATGTAGCCATTTAAGTCACAGTGTTTTAACATTGTGGCTTATTTTCCTTGTTGTGAAATGATGATAGACGGTTTAAAGATTCTTCTCAACAAACACAATTCACCGAGTAATTGATGTTAAACATAATAATAATGGAATTTAAATTGTTTAATGTGCAGAATATAAATTAATCTGATATGTACTAATAGTGTATACTATCAGCAGAATACAGTTTTATAATAATGTGATAACAATTTGACTTGTCATGAAATAAATCAATGGAAAGTTTGCAGTTCTAAAGATAACTAAAAGAAGATTATTAATGTTTAATACATCATATCGTATTGGAATTAACATGAATTTTATTCAAATAAACGGTTGTTTAAAGTGTTCCAATCACTGTCACTGATTCTGATTAAACAAATGGTAAATATCTATGCTTACTGAATAATCACTATGTTTTAATTTGAATTAGCTCAATAGCATGTGTACATAAGATTGAAAATAAAGCTTTCAGATTGCCTGATGGAAACGATATTATTTAGTTAATAATTTGGGATCCAATGATGAATTCTCCTATATAACTTTGTGAGTATCTTATGCTTTAGGGTGTTGAATTAAGGTAAAACATATTTTGGAAATTTCTCAGCTGATAACAATCTGTTGTGAAATCTGTTTTCTAGCTTAACTGGAATGATTGTATACGATCTTCACTAACTAGTAACTCTTTCAGACGGTGGAAGAATATTTTTAAAAATACTAACTGTTACATTTGTGCATGATTTTTACGTTAAACACGTATATTTGAGGAAACTTAGCATAAAGCGTTGTTATTATAAACCTAGATAAGAACACATAAGTTGTATGAAATAAAATAGTTTCTATGTATTCACCTTTAAGACGTTCAGACTGTGAAATATCTGATGAAAAATCAGTAAAACTGGAGACAATTGTAGGAAGTAACTGTATATTATTTATAATCCAGTCACTTACCAGAAGAAAGAGTAAGGGCTACAGTAAGCAGTCTTGTCTGACTAAGATCCTCACTTGGAACATGCCTGTTAGTTGTCCTGTATGCACGACTTTGCAGTGTAATCCGTCGTATGAATTCCTTGTGGTGTTGACGATCTTCTCAGGTACACCATAGTGTTGAAGAAGGTTCCATAATGTTCTCCTATCCACATTGTCAAGTGCTTTCTCGTAGTCAAAGAAGTTGAGGTATAGTGATGAATTCCACTCAACTGGTCGTTCAACGATGATCCATAGTGTCACGATTCGGTCTTTTCACGACCGATCGTTACAGAATCCGACCTGTTGATCTAGAAGCTGAGCCTTTACTGATTCTTTCATCTACCTGGGTGAGTTGTAAAACTGTGGTTTCAAACCTGTGGTGTACATGAGCTCCATGATCCAGAGAGGACAATTGGTGTATGAATCTATTGTTGGTCACCAGCTACCATGGCACTGCATCTCTTAACGTTGCTCCACTGCCTTGTGGATCAGACCTCTAGGTCAAAGGCTCGAGGAGCGGCTGCCTAAGAAAACCGCCTGTTTCGTTTTGAGCGCGTGGGCAGTATTCCAACCCTCACACAAATCGAATGATGTGTATATCGCATATATTTGGTGCCTCCTTGTACCAGTGTTTGTGTTTAAACAAATATTTTACTTAACCATTCTATTTGTTTAACCTTTAATTATCCTAGTCACTTACTCAAACAGTAATGAAGTGTAATTCAGACCTGAATTTATGACTTTATGATTGTAAATCAAACTATCTAACTATCAAGTTCACTTTTCTTCACTAGGTCACTGACATAAATTACTTCTCAAAAAGGGCCTCGTTTAGGACTCAACTCTGATAATCCATTTATAAAGTAACCGTTTCCCACTACGAAGTTTTAGTTACCTGTTATAACATTTTATTGTACTGGACACGTTAAAAAAAATTAATTGTTTACAAGGCTAAATCTAACTTACAGATTGATAATCTGTGTTTATTCATCTGATTATCCTACTTTATGTCATCAATAAAATATTTCCAATATTCTTAAAGTATTTAAATACAATAATTTTAAATTGTCAAATAAACCTTCGTCTACTATATTCTTATGAAAACCAGTGATAATTTTATTCAGAGACATAATCGGTTATGAACTTTCATAATTTCATTATACTTTACTATCATGTTTTGTTTTTTCAATATTAAAACATATAGAGTTACAAATAAATGTCTTGATGTTTCATTCAACTCTATTATGTATTCTTACAAATCTAGTTCATTGTCTCTATGTTGAAAATGTATTAAGTAATTCTTTTTTTAAAAAAAAAATTCTCTAAACATTGTTTACACACTGTGTTCGTTTGTTTTGTTTTGTTTAAACCATCATTGTTTTATTCATTTGTAATTTGACCATATAAAAAAAGGGTATAAAAATACTCATTTCAATTCAGTCGAAAGTCACATGGATTATGGGGTTTTTTATGAAAATGGTTAACTCATCATTATTATTATTATTCTCAATTAGAGTTATGTTTTTTTGTTTAAATTTGTTTTGTATATTAATTCAATCAGTAGGTTTATTCATAATTATTTTCCGGTTACACTGGACTCAATATAAAATGGTTTAATGTTAAAAATCATAAATAGTTTATGGATAGTTTTTGTTTTCATCATCAGAGAATGATATCAATTAAAAAATTTATTTTTAAAAAAAACTGTTGAAAGTCCCTATTTATGTAAATTGAAATGATAATTGTTCGTTTGTTAATCAAATTCTTATCAATCAATATGAGGTTTATGTTATGACTGATTGCTGCTAATTGTTATGTTGGAATCGCTTATTATTTATACTTGTAAAACGAGGAACCTTTGCAATTCCCATGACGCGAAATAAGATCACCAAAACTGGTACAAGTGAAGATTTATTAAACCCATAGCATGACAACGACTATAGTTGAAAATATACAGTTTCATGTGAAACTTGTTACAAGTAGAATTTGCTTGTTTTGAAAACCACCTTTAAATCTACTAGAAAATCATTAATTTTCAAACTTAGATTTTTTACTTATTTGTATTAGTTCATTACAAATCATGATCACCATTATGATTTTTTTCGTATATATACATATGTATGTATATACCAATTTTCTTTTTGTATTCATCACAAGCAGCCGCGAACTTTATCCGATTCATCTCTGTCTTCACAACTCACTGGTCGATCGAAGTCGGCTTCACTTGAAGATGTGTGCCATTCGGATCAACCAGTTAATCTCGATCGCTCTTCTAAATGTTCCGTACTAGGAACTACGGATGATGAATTAAAAGTTGTATCCGATGCTGATATTCCTTTTAAACATGTTCCATCCTTTTCAGATCCGAGTCACTTCAGTACAATTGGGGATGAACCACAGTCTCAACAACTAAACACTATCAAACGTTGTCCTACCCCTGAAGTTAAATGTCATTTAACATCAGGAACTACACCTAATGAAGTTATGTCAGATAGCTTTCAAGTGCCTCATAAATCTGTAAAAGAGAAAAAGAAACGTACGCGAAAAAAGCGTCTCGGATCTCACCATCATGATGAAGTATCTAGTTCAAAACTAATGCAACTTAATTACTTAAATACTCAGGACCCGTCACTTCCAGATACATCTGTAGTAAGTTCTACGGAACCTATCACATGTGGTCCAGGTCACGATCATCCAGGTAGAGTGTATACAAACACTGACATTCCATTGAATGTTAACGCCTTATTTCAATGTATTTTCACGGATTCGGAATTCTTCTCGCGATTCAGTGAACATCGTGGTACATTTGGAATGATTCAATCTCCATGGCCAATATTTAAGTGGTCTAGTCCCTCAGAATGTTTAAATCAGTTAGAAACTTCTAGTAAAATTGAAAGAACTATTACCTATACACTAACATTAAAACAGAAACTCGGCCCAAGAACATGCACGGCAGTAGAACAACAGGTAATTATTTTACAATTTCTTTCTCGAAGTTTTGACAAATTTTTAAAAGTAATGCTAAGTAATTCTTGCTAAATCGAAAATGTCGTTTATTGATTGTCCCCTAATTAATTATGCTATTTATCTACTTAAGCAACATACTCTTTTTCCAAAATGCTCTGACAAACTATTTTTTATAGAGAAACAGAAAATTATAACGATGGATTTCTCTTTTTAACCTGCTATTTTAGTCTCCTTCGTGAAGCTGTTGTTGAAGTAGATGAACATAGTCCACAGTCCGACCTTTTTGTATAAATAAATATCATGCTACTTACTAATAACAAGTAGTGCTCGTAAGAAAGCAACTATTTTTTTGGTTGTGTATGCAGTTAACTTACCATGCTTCCTATTCATTCTTTTAATGACGACGTGGTAAACTTCTGTGTGCGGGCTCCAAGATAATATCTTAAGGCCCAGATTGAAGTGGGTGGTTTTATTTTGGAGCTAATCTTATAAGCTCTGAAACAAGATCATGATACACAAGGCGATTGAGCAAGTTCATAAGATACACTACCATAGTAGCCAGTGGTCTAAATAGATCCGTATACTATTCTTCATATATAGATCCTATGTACACCGTCAGCTTGGAATAATGGTTCTCTAGCTCCCTCAGGTGAACTATCCATATTTAAAAGCGGAGTTTAAGCCCTAGGCGTTCGCTTTTCAGCTTCTCTTTCTGTAAAATCACTTTCACCACGTGGACGTCCTTGGCCAAAACTCTTGGATGTATAAAACCATTTTTAGGGGGAGAACTACTACACAAAAATCATTTTGTGACAATGGAGCAAATAATCGGATTTTCATTATTTGTTTTATCAATTTCAACATGAATTTAACTAATTTGAAAGAAAAAAGAAAGTAACAGTGCAGTGTCGTGTTTCATTGACTCATTGTTACAGTCTACCTAAGTGATCTTATACGTGTGAAAATTCAATAATTTTAGTTTTATATACAGTTACATTTTATTGTCAATGTAAAAATTTAGTACTAATATTAGTTTAATCCCATTGTATTGTTGGTTGGTTTTTTACTAAAATAATCATTATTTGTCAAAAATTAGCCATTATTTTTAAGTTATAAGTTTTTTCATCTGTTTGTATATATATTTTATAAGCCTTCTCCCCTGCGAAGATCAATCATACTTGCGAACTAGTCTCTTAGTATAATGACTTTAACTTCATTGACAATTAGGGAAATATGCAGTTTTGGGTGTGATAATGATTGAGAACCTTTGGTTCTTTAGAATATTATTTATAATCATTTATTTAAATCTTTACCATTTGAAGCTGTTATCATTCACTATGGTTATATTGCCTATGGATGAATGTTTGAATTAAATCATGTACGTAATATTGATTAGTTTTCTAATACCCAATATCCACATAGATTATGTTAGTTTTAGCGAACATCCATCAATTATTTGTAATGTATATTTAATTTAACAGAATAGTTTGTTTTGACCATTCATATTGATCAACGGTGTTAGTTAACATCATACAAATATTATAGTCTATGGTTAGAGTTCATGTATTTTGCTTATTGTACAGTAAAGAACTCTACTAATAATTCTCTCTGTATGTTCCTTTCAATGATAATTATTTACCTTTCTAACTAAAGATATTATAAATAACAATATATATGTCGGTAGTGTTCATTAATTTGACTATGTATTATTCTTTCACGTTTTTTTTACTCAACTCATACCTTTTCTTTTGTTCAATTTTAGATAAATTAACGCAAAATTTAAATATTTACAAATGGTTTTACTTTTTGTTGTGAATTTCAGACTCTTCTCTCAAGTGAATCCATATCTGGGAAAAGATATATCATTGATGCTAAAGTTACAAATCATGCTGTACCACTAAGTAATTGTTTCTATGTAGTTAGTCGTTATTGTTTATTGTATGTAAATCGTACAACTAGCCGACTACACGTTAGTTCACAAGTTATTTATGAGAAACCAGTGTTTTTTGGAGCAAAAAGTATCATAGAAAACACTTGTCATTCTGGTCTTTCGGATTTCTTTGATACAATAACTATTAAATTAAAAGAATTCTCTACAAATTTATCCTTAGAAGAACGTCTAACCGGTGGTTGGTTAGCACAACAGAGAGGATGCTTAAACAATATTACTCCTTCGTTAAATCCATCAAATATTCAAAATAATCCACTATTAATTCAAAGTGTTAATGGTAATCAGAATAATCGTAAACTTAATAAAGCTGATACATTGTTTACAGGGAATGTAAACAGTAGTAAAGTTCCTGCATCACGATATTCTGATCAAGCGAAATCATCTATATTCAACAACTGTATAAATGATAATGCAAATGTTAAAAAACAAAATAAAACTACACTATTCGGGTCTGGTGATATGACTTACTTATTTATGCGTCCAGATCGTGCTTGGTTATTACTAGTTGTTATGTAAGTGGTATTTTTGCGCAAGTATTTTTTTGTGTGTTAAATTCACTTCGAAAGTTTCCTAATAAATTATTGGTCAGAGAAAGAGGTTTATTATTTTGTTCCACTTATTCCCCATGTGTGTGCTACTAATGTTGACAGATATAAGTAGTATTTATCATCAGTCAAAGTGAAATGTCTGGAGGCAGAAGACCAAAGAAAAGAGGACGAAAACAAAGTGATTGGTGTGAAAGAATGAAGTCCGAGACGATTGACTGATATTCGCAAAAAGAACAGTCAGGTGTGAGGCAATTAATTAACATTCTGCAAACTAAGTATTTACTGTATGGTTCTCAGATGTTCTGTAATTTTGTGTTCACATACACTCGATTGTCCTTACTTGTGTTCTCAGGGATTCTTTCCTCATTTATCAGTAAAATATTCGAAGTATTTATGAGCTAATGAATAGAGCAGTAAATTAATGACTGAAACACTCATCTCTTAAGCAGAAAAGTTACGGGTTCTAACCTCACCGCATCACTATCCCTATACAATTTAACTCAAAAGAGTACATAAACATGTACTTAGTGGTTGTTTGATACGACGTACTGCTGTATAACAGATAATCAATATGAAGACTTATTTTCTTAATTCATTGTTCAAACGGCCGAATCGACTAATACGCCACATGAATGGAAGACATGTAGTGGTAGAAGTTTGTCATTATGTTGTTTCAATTAATCGTAGATACATCAAAAAACTATGTAACCCATGTAGCAGTTGTGGAAAATTCTTTATTTGATTAGAATTCAGTATTATTGTGTATATTCAAACATATAACGAATAAAGAGACTATTTTTAGATAATTCGACTAATAATCTTTTTTTATAGGACTATTTAATCAGTGCTGTATCATAAACTAAATTAACTTGTACCCCTTTTACTCCATATTTCAATTTCAAGTCAGTTTCTATCTACTGTATTCGGTGTTTCCCTTCTCATACATACAACCATTCTTATTAATGAATACATCTGTTCACAGAATACTTCATTTGAAAGAGCCGCATAAGTTTTTGTGACTTCATTATGGACTCAATGAGTGAGGCGTACTTCATTACGTTAGACTTTTGAAGTCGATTTGTTATCATACCTTGTGGAAACTATTATACCCATGAATTGACAATCGCCAGATTGTTGTATTTGCATTTCACATGACTGTACCTACTCGAAACATATTCCGATGTACTTATAAATTCAGGGGTTACAAAGCAATGGACAAGGATTCATAGTAGTGAACCAACTTTAATTTTGATGAGATAACAAAACTGCTTTTACGAAATCAATGAATCAGAAAAAGATGTTCATTTTCTCAAATTGTATTCACATTGGTTTGGCTGGCTGATTAAATATAGGGATTTAAAGCATTAATTTTTTTCCACACTTAATAATACTTCATTTCGCCCAAAACTATATATATTTCTATACCATTAATTTTCTGAAATCAGTCATTGAATCTTCCTTGTTGCATTTTCTCTTTCACAGAGGTCTATTACTTTGCTTATTCTTATCAATGGTATATAATCGGCTAGTAGTTTTAGAAAAACTAGCGGAACAATTTCCTCCTCTATCAGCTCATGATCGGAATCATTTTCATGATCTGTTTGGAACATCACCACAAGAAGATCGAGGATCTATACCAATTTACAAGGATCATTTAGCTTCAAAATCACCTGAATGGGCAAGAACACGATTAAAAGTGATGAAAGATCTCATACACCTGTTATCTAAAACACTTATACAGGTAAGAGAATATTAATATTACTTCGATCCTATATATATATATATATATATATATATACCAGTGATGTGAATAAGCCTTGGTGACAAATTTGTCTCGGTTACAGCAAATTTACTGAACGAAACGTTGGAATTATTTAAATTTCAATCGCTGAGATTATTTCAAATATAACTTCTTCATATATTATACAGCTGTTGAGTAGTTACATAATTGATCTATCAATCTTTTGTGCACTTTTTTTCGTTAAATTTTAGATGCAGCAGACATTAACTCAAGTACAACAGGGTATAGAACTTCTAGAATTCCCACCATCTAACTTGGAGGATAATATCAAGACAAGTATGAATGTGAAGACTCCGACAAATACAGATACGAATTGTCCAGATACTCAAACTAAACATGTACCTTAATGATTATCATCACCAGGCAATTTTGGATGTATCTTTTATTTTTCTTACTTATAAGCTAACTAACTAGTCAGTACTATGTTTATTAATTGCTGAATGTAAGATAATCAGTCAATACTTCAGTTGATTTATCATACAATTACCAGAAAATATTGATGTTTTTTTTTAACTTTTTGGAACTGTGATAATTTACGTTGTTTACATGTTAATAATGGTTAACCTACTGTATTGTTTTGTATTATTTCGCTATTGGTCTTTTCTTCATTCCAATGAGCGAATTCTTTTCTATGTAAGGGTATATTATATTCCTTATCAGAAAATGGACACACTACTAATATTACTTAACATTTATTATTAAATCCACATTTTGTTCAATTTGCCCTTCACTTTTCCTAGATTTATTATCAATTCTCATTACACTGGGCTCTTTCTTTCTTTCTTTCTTTCTACACTCATGATAATTATGCTGATCTTTCCATCTCAACAACAAAAAATACTATTTTTAAGTTGATTAAGTTAGTTCTTTATCATTATAGAAATAAAGATCAAGAACTTGGGACTGATTCGCGTCATCGAACATTCTTTTTCGAAGTTTATAAGAATGTGAATAATTGAACCGACCGCTAGTCAACAAATAACAACGTTGTTTTATGGAGCTTGGGAGAGCAACTGACTTGAGAAATCGGACGAGCGTGGAAATATATATATATATATATATATATATATATATATATATATATATATCATCCCACTTGGTAACTATTTTAATTAATCTCATAGAAATGGTAAATTCAAACAGAAGTACCTGAGCAACTATCAGTTAGACTAAAGCATGAATATAACACAAAGCATCCTCACAGAACTAAATATTTGTCTCAAGTATAGATAATAGGCTGTGCTGAAAAACCACCTAGTAGGTAACATCATATAACAGCATGATATGGCTTGGAAATCCAGTTATTGTGAACTCTTACATAACGATAAAAACAAAGATCTATAGAAACATCATACTGCCAAGAAATCTATCCCTGATATTTGACGGTCAAAAAGTTGAGCATACATTTATCCAAACCCTTATCTTCCCGATTACTGCTTATACTATTACTACCTCTACCACTACGGGATTTGAATCGACAACTACATCTCTGTGCTAATCTGGTATGGCAACTCGAACTGATGTACGTACTTACGAAGTTCTACGTTGTTACTGACTGACATTTATCAAAACAGTCAGTCAGCAACAACATTGAACTTCGTACGTACGTACATCAGTTCAAGTTGCCATACCACATTAGCAGAGATACGTGTCGATTCACATCCATAGTGGTAGAGGTAGTAAGAGTATAAGCAGTAATCGGAAAGATGAGGGTTTGAAGATATTATTACAGAACTTAGTTTGCTGGTCAGACCATAGGTGGCTGTCTAAGTGAACCAGAATAGACAGAAAATGAAATATTTAGCTTGGTAATCAAATATAAGAATTGGTAATTCTGACTGCCAGTTATAAAAATTGTTTTTAAAGTAAAGACGTCGGAAATTTCTAATCTAGCATTTCTTTTTTTGAACTATCAGTATTTTGCTAGCACTATCCATCTATACATTATCAGTCAATTAAATCGCAAACGTATTTGTAATGTTGGCTGTAATAACTGAAGTATTCAAAACTCCCTTTCCAAATTATTATAATGCGAAATGATTTGCTCTTGATAAACAATGGCAATGGTAAACAGTAATAATACTAATATTGGCTTTGTGGCATAGAATTATATTACGCTCTATGTCCATTCAGAAAAAATAAGACAATTTCTTCCAGTTGCCTTTTATTGAGATTTCAAAGTAATAATGAGGGATATGAAAAATACTAAAGTAAAAAGACGATTGTTAGAAAGTTGTCATGAAATGCAGTTTTTAGTAAATGCTTTCAAAATAATATAACTATAGAAAAAAAATAGGAATTTCAAATGATCGACCAATCAACTATGTTTTTGTAATACATTGTTCCGATAAGTATTTCTTTGCCTGAATAAAGAAAGAATGAAATGTTTCTTATAATTTGACGAGAACATAAAATCTATCAAAATAATGAACATTTTACTCCGGTAAAATGTTTCCCAAAAGATCTATAATATGACTCAGTTTTAATGATGATTAAAAAGTGAATGTGGTTTACACTGGTGAAAATTAGAACCTAAAATTTCAACACAAGAAAACTGTCGAGTAATTTACGTTGATTGGTTGAAAGGCAGGAATAAATATACAGTGGGATTTGGATCACGTAATCGCATAAATCAAAATCTGGGGTAGGAAAATACCTTATCCATCAACTAGCAGTTCATATCAGGGGAAAATCGAAATTCCAGATACGATAGTTCTCTATTTTATTTTTATTACTGGATATTAGCATAGCTGGACGTGTACGCACTAGTGGGAGTTTAAAATACCCAGTCCTGGAAACTAAGAAGGCGATCCATTTATTTCAAAATAATACTAAATTTTTACGTAGATGAGTTAAAAAAAACACATCAGTCACGATCGCCATTTCAGTTATAACACTCTACCGGTTTATCTTATACTTTGTACATGCAGTATCCTTGAAATAAATGAAAATTGACTGAATAGAAGTTATGTGAGGAAATAGCTCATCATGGAGAAAATATGTAAGCTGGATAAATATTTAGACCATCTGTTCATCACTAGGTTCAGGAAGACGTCGCAAAAACCAAATGCTGATCAATATAAATCGATTTATCTTGGGTTATGTTACTTGATTTAGTTGGCGGATGTCTTTTTGAAAGCATGTACGGTCATAAACAAAATAACTAATAAAGTCCGAAGTAATCTTAAAGAATTTAGGCTGATAATATTTGTAAACTAGAATCATGACAATAAAGTACATGCTGTAACAGCGAGTCCTTATGCTGAGTATATAAGCTTGTGATCAAAAAAGTGACTAACCTGTTTGACATTACCATCAGCGGCCAGTTTCATTAGATTTGTGACTGTAAATGTGGAAGGTTTATCTGACGAGTTCGAATGGATTATGGGCTCTTCAGAATCCAGAATAAGACATGCTAAATTATAGGCAGCCAGTGGATGGGAATCTCCCCGAACAGCACAACTGTACCAATGACCCGCTTGTTTGTTATAATGTCGCTTCAGACCATCCTGAAGAGACAGGCACTCAGATGCTTGCTTTTCGTACCATACACCTAGATTATACTGCGCTGGTGAATAGTTTAATTCCCCTAAATCCAACCACAATTTGGGGAAGTGTTTTATCTTGCTTTCTGAAATAGATTTCAGTGCATGCTGTACAGAAACAAAAACAGATGAGTAAATTAGATACAGAAAATATTTATTAATAGAACTAAATACCGTCGGCGAAATCGTGAGTAGATAATATATTGAAAGAACTCATTAAAGCAATTATTGGTTCTAAACAAAACAGTTGCTTTGCGTATAAGACCACTTGTATAAATAGCAAGAACATTTGTGATTCTAGACAATTGTCTTCGCAAGATACTCTACTGTGGGAGCGAACAAACCAGCTACCAGCTGAGAAGGATATAAAGATAAAAAGATGGAGGTGGATAGGACATACATTGTGGAAATCGTCAAACTGCATCACGAGACAAGTGCCAACTTGGAATCCTGGAAGCAACAGGAAAAGAGGAAGACCGAAGAACACATTACGTCGGGAACTGGAATCAGATATCAAAAGAATGAATAGCAACTGGAAAGGATTGCCCAGGACAGGGTTGGATGGATAATGCTGGTGGGCAGCCTCTACGAGGTATAACGGGCGTGAGTAACAATGCAACAATACAGCCAACTTGTGTAAACAGACAATAAATTCCGACTCTGTAACTCAATGGTTAAAGGTTTAGCTCTTAACTGCTAAACTCCTGTTTAGATTTACACCATATGAATATATCAGAAATTTCATACTCTGGCGAACAATAGGATGATTGATCGTTAGTCATCAGGTCTGATAAGCCCTTCATTCACGAAGTTTGGTATACAATGAGCAGGTGATTTATTTGAACATGATACAGTGGATTAGCAATTATACAAAAGAATCTTATTACCATTGTATGTAATGCAACCAATATATTAATAATATTGATATTACACATTCAATTAGAGGTCAAGGAAGTAAATAATTTGAAGATACAGTGAACTTCAATAAGGAACGACAGCTATGATATCACGCGACCTTTACTACTAAGTGATTTTGATGTACAACAGTTGTAAAAAAGTGAAAGCATAATATAAAGAAAATGAGTTTATGGATTCCATGACCATTAAACTGAGTTGTTTACAAAATTGTAAACATTCAAGAAGTGCTATTGTTCACTTGTGTAAAATATTTAAAAGAAAAATCTAGTTAATTGTAGATGAGAATTTAATAAGACTACGCTAGCTTCCAAATAAATAGATAAATTTGCAAATTTATGTTCAACGACATGCCGAAAAGCATCACTTATGTATGCTAAAATAAAGCAAAGCATTAAATAATATTAATAATACAGTACTTACACAGTTTAACTTGTGAAAGATTTGGTCTACTTTTGTAGATAAAGCTTCTAAGTTTGTTTCGGTATCAAGTGTTTCAGTCTGACAACTTTGATTTTTTGTTTCTATGGGCTTGTTACGACACACGAAAGTAGAGTCCTTACAAGAGACTAGTTCGGTAACAGCGGGATTAGCAATAGTGAATGGAAATCTATTGAGATATGCATCCTGTAACTAAAATTGTTAAAAAGTGAAAAAGTAGGTTACGTGTAGCAAATGTCGAGAATATAATTTTTCTGGGGTAACAAAACTTGACTGCAGATTTTTCGGTACTTCATACTTATTTTGTAAGGTAGAACATTGGAGAATAGAGTCATCAAAGCTGACAGGAGCCAATCCACGTAGAACTACTAAATATACGTTTAATATGAAGATTAACTTACAGCGTAGTTTCGCACTTAACATTGGCTTGTAACAAAGGACCGCTTGAGTTGAACTATGACTGACCCCAATATAATGAGAACCACGTTATTATCTGTGTTTGAATACTTTTGATAAATGTATTCGATCAGAAAATCTTTGTGTAGAAAGAATAATAAAGGTCTTTGTGTCCCAAACCAGTGTTTTTGGGGGTAGACTCTGTATAGGGGCCAGGTATGTCCCTCCCTCGGGGTCCTACAAATACCAAAAAATAAAAAAAAGTAGCTGAAAGACTCGGAAAATACGAACAGCGGTAATAAAAACGAGCTCAAGGTGCGTATAACTATCTGTCTTCATGTCTTCATGTAAGTAATTTAAGAAATCTGTAACTGGTGAATTCCCATAGGACATTTAAGATGCTTAATAATGTTCCTAGATATCCGATCTGTGCATTCGAATTCCTATTTGGTATTAAAAATCTATTGGACTCATTTCATTTAAATTATCTAGGCAGTGAAAGGACTCGTATTGTATTGGACCTACGTAGCGATCTTCCTGAGATCGTAAGTCAGTACATCTCTTTTCGTGTCAACCACTTCTTACTCCGGTTAAATCATTTAGCTTCATAAGACAAAGACTATTGTTGGTGGCGATTCAGTCAATTAAACCTGACCCGGGTCTATTTGTTATTTAAATTTAAGAAAATTGGTACAAGAAGCAGTCATTATTTGCGGACGCCGGGAATGGTTGGAGAAAGCGGAGAGGTGGTCAGTGTATGACATGATGTCGTGGTATGAAAGAAAGTTGCAAAGGACTGGCTTCTGTTGGTCCTTCACGATTCCCTGGTTGGGGTCTGAGGGATGGTGCTACACAGTGGCTAGAGACGTTATCAGATATGCCTCAGAATGGAAGCTAGTGGCGATCCTGCCGTAACCTTCTACTTTCTTCATAAAGGGTGGTTGTATCTTCCTTAATTGAAAGAATTCTTCTTGTTGTACCTTTCCGTTTCCCCCATTATTGTTATTATTACTATTATTATTATTATTATTATTATTATTATTATTACACTACCTAACGCTAATCTATGGTCGTTATTGTTCTTTTTTCCTTATATACTCCTTACCTTTTTCTCTTCCCATTCTCATTGTTTTGTGTGGCGCATATATATTTGGTGCCTTCTTGTACCAAAATTTATGTGTTTAAATAAAATAAAATAAGAAGCAGTCTACTTCGACGGATGACATATTTTCTAACTGGACGACGACAGAAAGAATCGGTGGGGTCCAAGATGCCTAGTTGAAGACCACCATGATGAACTTTTCAGGACCAGTTGTTCTATTCTATATAGAATGTCGCAACTACTTACCTAATATCTTTGATCTTATTTTATGTAGGTGATATCGAAATGCAAAGGACATAACAAAAGAATATAAAAGAACATAAGAAAATTCTAGATAAATTAAATGGATGCTCCAATTGTTGATAACCACAGTACTGATGTGAATAATAACATATAGTAGTGAGATGAAAAAGATGTAACAAACTTAAGATCTAATAAAAACGTGCGCAGGCCTGAAGTTGAATCGAACAAAATGAAAACTAGAGATAGCATTTCGAGTGGGAGAACTGACTCTCCCCACCCTCGGCCGTATCAAGGTATTTGGGAACCCGTAATTCCTAAAAATGTTTTACCACAACCTCTTTATCTAAATTTTAAACGGCTAGCATTTTCAACCTATTTTTTGTCTCATCCTAAGTTCTATAAACAGTCAGAAGATTTTGTCAGAACGGAGTTGAATAATAATAGAATACAAATGGTATTACGGACGTGAACACCTCAAGTAGGCTTCAAGATAGTATTTGTCTATCAACCACCCAAGACATTCTTCCTTATGACCCCAGAAAAGTTTGTCACACAGAAATACTACGTTAACACCAATTAGGCTAGATAATGTAGCAATTGTTCGATGACAACCAAAACTGATGTCAGTGAAAATGGAATACATAAGTTAAGACCTCGTGCAGACTTTTCGGGTATCGTCTTACAAATCTTCCCATCTAGTGATAAAGGTATATTTATGTGCCAAGTGATTAGTCACAAGCACATGTAGATATCTGGTAGTGACATTGTTTGTAAGTGCATGTCTATAAGGGAGGCCGAACCTAATGTTTATTTTGCACCTCTTTTAACAAATTAATTATGTAACGTGTGATTTTTTATCTCTGTCATCTGCTACACCGAAAATGTTCACAAACCGACAAGGTATTTTCCTTTTTCAGATGTACAGTGATGGTAATAGGACTCACCGGTTAGTATGGACACGTACCGCTGTAATACGGGCTTTTATGCTTATGTTATTCCTTCTGAATACCAGGGATCGAAATAAATTTGATATTATGTGCTAATGAGCATCCTTAGTGATATCCATTTTCACATAGAAGCGAAGGAAAAATCCGAGAATATCCAGGCTACAATTGGAATATATATATATATATATATATATATCGCAAGTGCAGGAGATATCTGGAGTTTGAGTGGAGTCAGGCGAAAGTGAGACAACATGGCTTAAATTTTGGCGAAAAGTAGACTATTCAGAGATCAATAAGGTGTGAACTTATAGATTTCTCGCCTCATGGTGGACATTTTAAGGAAATATTTCCCTATATGTTTTATTAGTTCTTCAGAGTGGGCGAAAAAGGCGACTTAAGTTGCAATTTCGCATGAATTTTTTCCAATTTTTGTCATCCAATGTCACGCATTTTTCCCCGAAATTCGCCTTTCATTCCCATTCAGTTTAATTGGGATTATTAGAGGGTATCATGCCACTAAACTAAAGCATTGAGATGGTAGACGAAGATATGGATGAGGTGTTTTTTAGTTTCGGATATAGTAAATATGAAGATATATGGATTAATTATCCGAAAAACAAACAAAATTACGAACAGTACCGACAACACCTTATTTCGTACCGTAACGAATAATTATAAATAATTGCCATGGGTTTCAGATTACAATGTATAATCCATGTCTTTAAAGACAAGACATTTATAGACAGATTGTTGCGAGCTATACGAGACAAGATTCAACCTGGTGAACCTCATTGTCTAGTAGCAAGTGACCAACGTTTCTTTGCAGCAAGGACCGGGATATATGGAACAAGCGGGAATGCTTCAAAGAGTTGTGGACGGAATAGAAGAAGCTTTTGCTTAAAAGGCTTCCGAATCTAGTAGCAATGGATCACCGATACCTCCATGCAGGAACCTAGGTATGTCAACGATAAAAGAGGAAAAAGGAACTGGTAGGACACAATCCTTAATCCTTAAGAATATATTATGATGCCTTTTAAAGGACTCCTGCGAAGTGTCTTGGAATATCTCAGCCGGCGGCGAATTCCAGCATTTGACAACTCTTTAGGAGTAAAAGGTGTGTCTACACTCCATTCTGCTGTGTTGTGTCTCCAGTTTCTAGGTTTTACCCCTTAGGTTTGTGTTGGAGTTAAACTTAAGTAGGTGTTTAATGGGGTCTCCAGCAGTATTTAGGATGCTGTGAGCCATTAGAAGGTCACCTCTAAGACTCTTGTACTCTAACGGTTAGAGATTTGGTGATTGGAGGCGCTCTTCATAAGGCTTGAATTTGAGGCCTCGAACTGATTTTGTAGATCGCCGTTGGATACACTCCAGAGTGTCCTTATCCTCTCTTAGTGAGGGAGGAAATACTATGTTTTCGTACTCTAAATGGGGACGAATGAAACTATGAAAGATCATGTGGAAAGTTCTAAGGTCAAACTGGCCAAAAATGCACTTCGGTGTTACCAGTCCAAGGCTTGCTCGAAAAGCATTTTTGTCACAGTTAACGTAAGACTTCAAGTGGTAGAGTACCAGAACTCCAAAATATTTTTCATCTTGGGATACCTCTAGCGTGCAGTTTTCTAAGTTGTGGCCGTAGTTTCCAATGTGTCTCAGATGAACTGCTTAAAATTTTGAAGTGCTAGAAGTAAGTTCATTGTCATCTGCCCAACTTTGATGTCGAGTCAGATCCTCCTGATGTGCCAATATATCCCCTTGGTTGAGTATCTCTCTCCAAAGTTCCACATCATCAGCAAAAAGTAATAAGTCGGACGAGATTTGTTGTAGAAGATCGTTTATATAAATCAAGAAAAGAAGAGGTTTTAGTACTGAACCCTGTGGTACTCCACTAGAATACTCCATAGGCTGAGAGAAGGTTAAGTTAACCCTAATGATGTCACAGGTATTCAGTGTTTGACAACGCTTCTACCAGTAACACCTTCTAATATATTTCGTTCCCGCCCAGAGAAATCAAAAGACAGAGTCGAGGAGATCGGAAGAGTATATTTGGCGATGACCAATATATCGGAATTCTCTGATCTAATCTGGCTAGCGATTGCGGTTGATGTTGAGCACGGCGTTACCACACGTGATCTGGTGCGGATGCCTGACCGAGCGCCTTCAGCTAGGTGAGTCCACTAAAACATATGGTCAGCATCCAATGTCGAAAACTTAGTGCTATTTATTTTGGGGATTTATTTACCGCTACAGATCACTCCCCCCCCCTAGTGGGGCAGTGATGACCCTAAGACGTGGCCAGCCAGAAGTTTAAACCCAACGAGTTTGTCGTTGGTAAACACTCTTCTGATAGCTTACTAAATTTAGCAGCGTCTGGTCGTCTTTCCTTACTATATGGGACGGAGGTACAACATAGTAAAAAAAGAAAATGTACATGGAAAATTTCGGATCCTCATAAACGTCATCGTTCTTTTCCAGCCGTCCTGGAAAAGAAAAAAGAAAATGTAAGTGCATGTCGAAATACACTCGTATGTGCGTAAAAGCACAATGTCGGCGGAAAAAAAATGGAAAATAAACTCACATGAACACGTAATAGCGTTAAAAAAATTGTTTTTTTGTTTTGTTTTTTTTTAAATCGAAATAAAAATATATAAGCATATTAAAATTGTTTTTTTTAAAAAAAATAATATAAAATGTCGAGAAGTGCCTTACGTGCAATAGTCGTTTAAATGTTCTGGAAA